TAAAAGTACAGCTATCCCTGTACCAGGCCGTGAAGGCCCATAGGGTTGTGAGACGTTGAGGGTCCCCACACTATCTAGACAATCGTCTCAAAGATGGCGGTAAATTTGTCAGCCTTACGCGCCGGCCGCGCTTTACTCCCCAGGAAAATTATTTTTAATTAATTCCTGGTACTCATTTCTGTTAGAGGTTGAGTAAACCCCAGGGCCTGGTGCGGCTGGAAGGATTAGGTCAACTGAAAAAAATCCAATGACCTCATCGGGACTTGAACCCGCGACCTTCCGGTTTGTAGCATAAATATCTTCTTATATATTCTTATTAGATTTATGTATACGATGTGTGTTAATGTATCATATGATTACTTGATTGTGTACTTACTCCAAGTGACGGGGTGTTCTCCCTGTTGTGTTGTGCTATGTGTATTTCTTTATGAATGCTTGCTGAGCTGGATCTTTATGACGTGTATCTGGTGTTAAATTCTTGTAATACTTCGAATATCGGGTTACAAACATCAATATATGTGTCATTCACGTGCCATATGTTCTTTATTCATTTTACTAGTGTATATATATATAACATTTTTCTAGTGAATTTAGATGTTTTCCTTCTTTGTCTATTTTTACGACTTGTATTGTGTCTGTTACAATCCCACTTGCGTGTTCTTTATTTAATTCATGATTCGAATATCCTGACTTACCATCATTATTCGTGATTGCCTGTGTGTGATATTGACAGTGGTAGTGTCATATGAGTTACAACATTAAGCACTAATATCTCCACGCTATGCATACTGCGAGAGGCAGTCGGGCTGGCGCGTTATTATGGCGATAAATCAAATATCTGCAGGCGGTTGGAAAATGCTACTAAGCTTGTGTTGACGTGATTTTCCTGGCCATTTACCTCTGCTGCATGGTGAAATACGGATTGTGTCAGACTACAGTGTTGAAGAACTTGACGCATATCAACTGCATTCAACATTAATTTCTAAGCTACACAAGCTCATTAAAAGCAGGCACGAGTATTAACTCACTTCTTAAATAATTTGTCTGAACTTCTATGAATTTGTACAGTTTTGTATAGTTTAATTTGAAGGCGTGCATGCTGCAAACGTGTAATCGTTTCAGAACATGGGATTCCGAGTAGAATTAATAAAACCCATTTCTTCTTACGCAACTTCCTAGTGCTACATTCAGTAACTATTAATAGTATTATTACATTTGTAAAGACTTCATTATTTAAGTCCGGATTCTTCGCATGCTCAACTTGTTGGTTATAGCATCAAAGGTTCGTAACGTAGCCATGTTTGTAACTGTTAACTTACAAACAATATTTCGTATATAATGCATAGGTATGTTTATGATGTATCCCCGTACAAAATTCCATATGCCTAGCTCCATCATTAAACAAAGAACAGATCAGATTCTGGGAACACTGAATATGATCCAGTTCCAGTCAAATACGATATATAAAAACGTAAACATGAAAATACACAAAAATGTAATTTTATCTGTCATGTTGTATTGGTATGAATTTATTTAAAATGTTTCATTAAAACTTGTTCATTTATAAGTAAGAAAAAGGAGCCGAAGTTTAAATTCAACATGAGCCAGTGTAAACGCCTCCCCTCCCCCTTTTTCTTAATTAATCCTCCAAAATTAAGAAGTCTCGAGTTCGAAGTAAGTTTCTTGATATATATTTGTCGGCTTAACGAGAATTTTTAAAAGACGATAACTGTTCCTTCTTTAAGAAATTTGGCGCTCTGCTGCAGACAATAATCGGCATTTGGTTGATGTTACACGTCATCAAATGGAAAGAATCTAACAGTTTTAATAACTAACATCCGTAGTAGGCCGCGTCATAGCTAAAGCAGTCAGTTGCTGGCTTCCCACCGCGGCGGCCCGAGTTCGATCTCGGGTCTGGTCAAGTGGGATTTGTGGTGGACAAAGAGGCGCTGGGGCAGATTTTCTCCGAGCACTTCGGTTTCCCCTGCCAATCTTCATTCCACCAATTGCTCCCCAATCACCCTCACACATCATCTGGGGCTCGTACAATAGGCCAGAAGTGGCCGCAGTACAAGGGATACCAGTAGTATCATTTGTTACAAAAAGAAAAAAGGTATAGCTATCCATGTAACAGGCCGTGAAGGCCCATAGGGTTGTCAGACGTTGAGGGTCCCACATTATCTAGACAACCGGCTCACAGATGGCGGTTAGGTTGTCAGTCTTACGCGCCGGCCGTCCTTTCACCCCCAGGAAGATTCCTGGTACTCATTTCTGTTAGAGGTTGAGTCTACCCCAGGGTCATAGTGCGGCTGGAAGGATTAGGTAAACTGAAAATAATCCACCTCATAGGAACTCGAAATCGGCTTGTAGCACAGCATCTCAAACAACTACAACACCGTATGTCCCCCTTCATTTGTTATAGCAGTGAAACAAAACATAAACCAGCAAAATGGTTTCTCAGCTTTGTTAGAAGGTGCTATGGAGTGTTTCTGAAGAAGCAATTATTAGCTGTTAGCTGTTGAGAAACGTTTCGAAGTTTCACTTGTGGTTGTGCACCGCCCTAAAGCTGATATCTGAGTCTTGTGTGGTCTGCAAAAGATAGTTTGTTCCTTCAGGAGCGGCAGGAAATTAAAGACGACGCAAGCACACGACTATAACATGGCAGAATAGCGGGCTTACAGCCTGCAGGAAATTCTGGGTTGGCACACAGAATGAGGTAATATGAAGTTGTATTATGTTATAAGAGACCAAATTCGTGAGGAACTTCTAATGAACCTGTGGAACGTCCCACATAAACAGTACGCGTTCATAACCATTACGGAACATGGACATTCCCTCGAGAAGAGCAAGCGGTGTCCTCAACTTCACATAATAAAATCACTAACCATACAATGTGTGTTGAGAGAGATAAACTGTTACAACCCACTAACTCCTTGCAGCAGAGAAGCCAAGGCTCTCGGCCTTTTATGAATACAAGGCTCTTTATTACGTTCACAGCAGCACACCATTGGGCCTTAACCTGAGTCCGATAAATCCAGCCCACATCCTCATATCCTACTTTAACATGCAATGTAATATTATACTTCCATAATATGCTTAAATCTAAGGAGTTTCTTCCACTCAGGTTTTCCGTGTTTACGTTATCATTAGGAAAAATGGAATATGGGCTTATTTTATTTATTTTGCTCAACAAACGAACTGCGAGGCTTTAGTCCGCAAGCGAACTATACCGACCGAGCGACCGCCGTTTATCGGCGAAGTTACTGCGAACTTTGGCGGATAGAGGGTGTCGCGTGGTCAGCGCAACGAATTCCCACGGCCGTTAATTTCGGTTTTCTAGACCGGAGGCGCTACCTCTCTATTCAAGTAGCTCCTCAATTATCCCCACGAGGCTGAATGGACCCCGTTCAAGACCCACTACTTCTTAGAGAAGTATTGAGAAAAGAACCGAAACCGGGACCTCTGGATCTGTAGCCAAGAACCCTGACCATAGAGGCGGTAATTTTGCTCACAGAGTTGAAAAGTATAACTAAGGCGTTTAATAACTAATACAGATTTTAATGCACGCAACGAAACTGTAAAAGAACTCTAGACAAATATGACGAAGAATTAATTTAAATGAGTGTTTGTCATATCGGTTACTATAAAAAAACATGATAGATTGGATTAGGGCTTACGCGAAACTACCAAACCAATTTTCTTCAAAATTAATTCCTATATGGCCTTGAGGTTTAGGTACTACACTACAGATATATATCGCATCATCTCTCTTATTCACATTCTACTGAACTGTTATAAAAATTTGTAACGCGAAATTACGTTATTCAAATAATAACAAAAGAAATACCAACAAATTTATTTTGTGGAATTGCGTACGACGCTGTAGGCATAATAACTTCTCCAGAAGACTAGTGAACCACAATGAAAACCACAGGTCCTTCAAGTACATGCTCGCGGATAGCATTTTAATAAAAACCAGCAAAAAAAACTCCGTGGCCTGTAGTCCGCAAGCGAACTATACCAATCGAGCGACAGCCGCTTGTCGGCGAAGTCAGTGCCAACTTTAGCGGATAAAGGGTGTCGTGTGGTCAGCGTAACGAATCTCCACGGACGTTAATTTCGGTTTTCTAGACCGGAGCCGCTATTTCCTTGAAATAGCTCCTTAATTATCCTCACGAGGCTGAGTGGACCCCGTTCCAGACCCACTACAACTCAGAAAATCTGGTAGCGCCCGGAATCGAACCCGGGATCTCTGGGTCTGTAGGCAGGAACTCTAACCACTAGACCACAGAGGCGGTCATCTGTGTAAATCCTACTTATGAGACCCAAAGAATAACCGGACGAAATTCTGACGACGCCACGCGTTCGAGGTAAAAGATCATTTTCGAAAGCAAGAATACCATTGTAAGAGGCATCTTAGGGGACCTCGTATATGGAATTATACTCCGATTAATTGAACGAAAACAGAATATGTGGATCTAAATTGGACTGAACCGACTCGGGATAAAATCGAACGCCGTGTTGTGCCCTGAAGGCCGACTCCCGGTAACATGTTAAAAGTGTATTCAATTTTTATTTTAGGGGAAAATGTTGGCTAGAATAGAATTAGTTTTGGGAAATACTTGTAAGACGTACGAAAGAGGATGTAAGAAGGGTTAAGAAACTTCAAGGAATTTCTGCGTATGGAGTTAGACGGCCGTTAGCCTTTGACGCGTCGATGTCTTGTCAGCAGAATGACGTTGGAGGTATATCGAAATGCTAACTCGACAGAATCTACTCTTGAGTGAAGGGATGGACGTTTGCAGGTAAAAGTGTTAGCCAAATGGACTAGCAGTAAGGGGCGTATCCACCCCTATGAATCCCAGCCAACGAGAGCACCCACCTTGGGATAAGACGTCACTGGAGGCGGGAATGCTCCCTCTGGGAAAGTAATGAGTTAGCAAGAATAAAGGTATATAACCCAGAGAGCAAATTAGTAACGAAATTATTCAAACAGTAATTTTGGCCAATTGCGGCCGAAGGCCATGTTGGAAGGAGCCCCGACCGGATGCCAGGTAACGCCATCCGTCTGCAGGCTCAACTCAAAGTAAGTGGAACTACTCTTATCGCCATGCTTAATAATTGTGATATTATTAAAGTGTAACTCCCCCAATGGGGCATGAGTTAGGAACGTTACGAAAAGTGTACAGGGCGTAAGTGATTCATCAGAGAAATGCAGAAGTAGACATGTGTAATATAGAGGCTGCAGAGGATGTGTCTAGATGCAGGGAAGATAGCTGCAGGGGTGTGTAAAGATATATAAAGTGGATGAGTAGAATAGGAGAAAGAGGAGACTAGCGACCCACAACTGGGTGAAAGGAAGGCTAAGATTAGGTCCAAGAATCGTCTAAGAAGGAGCTATGTGTAATCCGACACCAGTCGACTCTTTAATTGTGATATTACTAAAATGTATATAGTTGTGTATCGATTGTTTACACTAATATAGGGTAGCATAGGGTGAGGATGTGAGTTTCTGTTGTTGGGATTTCCTCCCTTACCACACTTCGCACCTGCGCCCTCCAGCCAAGCCCGGTGAACAGTGTGCCCCTAGCCAATGCAGCAACGATAGAGGAAGTAAATTTAGCAGTTTCCTTAGCCCACCCCCTGTGACTGCAGGACAGATGGTGCCAGCGGTGGGATACATCCACGCCCCCCTGTCACCACGGCAAAACAGGCCGCGTATGTGATTACGACGAACCTTCCAGCTACATAACAAAAGAGAAATGTTTGTTGAAGTGAACTGCACCTCAAAAAATTGCCTGCAATAAATTAGTTGATGTGGCAGAACAGTATGGATTTAATCAATAATAGCCTTCAAGTACCAATATTTTGTTAGCTTATACAATATTAGTGTACCTTGAAACATTTATTATAAATGGTCCTGAAAGCCATGTTGCAACGCACAACACGACGGTACGTTTGGTTGCCTAATACGCAAGGGATAAGGACGTCCCACTAAAAGCACTGTAATGGGAAATATTCAGGGACTTAGCAGCAACAGGCTCGGAACGAAACAACGAAATTAAATGTTATGTTATGTTACGCACATGCATATGCTACAAATACTAAATCACAATTTATGCTCGTAAACGTAGTAGGGTTAAATAATTAAATTAGTGGTTACTCTGCAAGAGCCAGCCAAACAGTGTCAAACAAGAGGATCGCTTTCAGTCATAAACCAGCATATCGAGTTACGTCATTTAAAGTTCAAATCATTAAATCCACGAATCCTGATGATCGTTAAAATTATGAGAAAATCATATTACGAAACATTTCAGACACTCTTCACAAGCATTTTACTCAACCTCTGGGTAGATTTATTCTACTTTCTGAATCATGTCTTAAGGTTATCAACAATATTTCATATTATCGTCATGCCAGTTTACTGATTGACTTCAATCAAACATGACAGATTCGCTGAAATGCACCGAAAACTAGTCCTTTCTTTCAACACATACAGAGTAACAGGTCATCACAAAATGTGGATAGGAATAGCCTGTCGAGAGCCGGGTGATACGAACAGGGATATTAAAAATAGGAAATCGATTCTTCAAGCATGCGAACGAAGTAAGCCCTACGTATGGGACTACAGTGTGGCACAGAAAATAGACAAAAAACAAATACCCTATTGGACTGCGCACTACAACCAATTCTATGGAACACTTACTCGTACTTACTCATGGAGCTCAGGCCTTCTTGAGGAGCCGCCAATTCTGCAGCTATTCAAGAAAATCCCAGCATTTTATGGAACCCGAAGGTTCATTACTGTGTTCACAAGAGCTCTCCACTGGTCCCTATCCTAAGCCACATCAATCCAATCCAATCCATCCCATCCCATCCTGTCTCTCTAAGATCCATTTTAATATTGTTCACCCACCTACGCCTTGGTCTTCCCAGTGGTCTCTTTCCTTCTGGCTTTCCCACCAATATCCTATATGCATTCCTCTCCCCCCATTCGTGCTACATGCTCTGCCCACCTCATCCTCCTTGACTTGATCATTCTAATTATACTTGGAGAAGAGTACAAGTTATGAAGCTCCTCATTATGCAGTTTTCTCCAACCTCCTGTCACTTCATCTCTTTTCGGTCCAAATATTCTCCTCGGCAACCTGTTCTCAAACCCTCAAGCTATGTTTTTCCTTAACATGAAAGGCAAAGTTTGAAATCCATGCAAACAGATAAAATATTTTTTTACAATGGCTCTTCCATCCCATTCAGGGCCCAAGCCTCATATTCAGTATCGTAATCATTTTTCACATAAGGTAGGACTCCTTGGACAGGAGAACACAAACACAGAATAAACGCATACACACACCAAACATGAATGCCTTGACTGAAATTCGAATCCACGATCCTAGCGTCCTAGCGAGCGAAGACAGTTCATAGCTTAGACCGCGCGGCTACTGTGACCGGCAACATTAGAGCTTTACAACCTTTAACATTCAAGTTTTAGAAAGCGGGTGGGGCGACAAATGATTTTGAACTGAGTGGTGGCAAGCATTCTCTGAATTCAACCTGTTCGTAAAATTAATACTTATTGTAGTTTTAATCTTGACAGCTTTTCGAAGGACGTATTTAGCTATCTTCATATTGCGAGTTCGCAGTGCATTTTGATGATGATCCACAATTCCATACACAGATTTATCTGCGATTATGTCTAGGCCAACTTATGTATTAGCGCATATTAAAGGTTCTCTGTTTTTCTTCATGGCACAGAACTTATGTTGCCGCCCATCAAGTTAGCATCATCGGCATTGACCACAATTTAATGCGTTCCAATTAACTCTAATCCCGGTACTTTTCTTTGGACTTTGTAAATGGCATATTCTAAAGCAAAGTTAGAAATCTATGGTAATTCTGAATAGAAAAAGCACCAGATAAGTATTTTCCTGTGGGTCTCATATAAATGCGCTTTAGTCAGCCTAACTAGTTTCATGTGTATACAGAGTTTAGTGATAATACTGGAATAAGCTGTTCCTTTCTACTACACTTCTCCGTGAAGTTATTTGAATCGTACCTCTATCTGCACATTCAGAACTGCGACCGTTTGGTTGAAGGGCTTGAACTACATAAAGACAACTGCCACTCACTCATAAAGATGTGTCCATTTTGAGAAGCCGCCAATTGTGCAGATACTCAAGAACTTCCCAGCATTTTATGGAACCCGAAGGTTCACTACGTATTCACAAGAGCCCTCCACTTGTACCTATCATGAACCAGATCAATCCAGTCCATACCATACCACCTCATGCCATCTAAGATCCATCTTAATATTATCTTCCCACATACGTCTTGGTCTTCCTAGTGGTCTCTTTCCTTCTGGTTCTCCCACTATTAACCTATATGCATTCTTTTTGTCTCAATTCATGCTACATGCCCTGTCCATCTCATCCTCCTTGACTTGATCATTCTAATTATACTTGGAAAGGAGAGCATAAGTTATGAAGCTTCACATTACATAGTTTTCTCTAACTTTCAGTCACCTCATCTCTCTTCGACCCCAATATTCTCCTCAGCACCCCGTTCTCAAACACCCTCAGTCTATGTTTCTCCCTTAATGTTAGAGATCAAGTTTCACACCCACACAAAACCACAGGCAAAATTATAGTTTTGTACGAGTATATTCTAATGTTAATGTTTTTAGGCAGCAGACGAGAAGACAAAAGGTTCTGGACTGAATGGTAGCAAATATTACCCGAATTCAGATTCCTCTTAACTTCCTCCTGAATCGGGCTTTCATTTGTTACAGTCATTCCCAAATATCTGAACTATACAACATTTCGAAACATCTGTTTCCTATCTTTATGTCATGATTCTGTCTACATTTTGGTCATGAGACAGCACCGTGTGCTTAGTTTTCTGTGTTTACCTCTAGACCAACCTCCTTACTACCGTCAATTAAAGTTTGTGTTTTTCTTTATGGTATCTATATTATCGGGGGGCACGCGGTAGTATAGTTGGTTGAGGCACTATGCTACAAGCCGGTAGGTTGTGGGTTCAAGTCCCGATGAGGTCACTACTAGATTTCTTCCAATTGACATAATCCTTCCAACCGCACTATGGCCCTGGAGTCGACTCAGCCTCTAACAGAAATGAGTACCAGGAATATTCTTGGGGGTAAAGGGCGGCCGGTGCGTAGGGCTGACAACCTTGCCGCCATCTATGAACCGACTGTCTAGAAAATGGTGGAACTTCAACATCTCACAACCCTATGGGCCTCTACGGCCTGTTACAGGGATACCTTTACTTCTAGTCTACTTTATATTATCACCCAGTAGCTTCACATAATCGGCGTAGACCAATAGCTGATGTGTCCTGTTTAATTTCAGTCCCACCTTGGGACCTTCTTGGACCTCCCTGATGGCATATTCTAAAGCAAAGTTGAAAAGTAGGGGCGGGTAAAGCATCTCCTTGTTTCAGACCATTCTGGTTAGGAAAATTATCGACGAATGTTTACGTATAGTAATGCGTTTCGTTGAAACACATTTTAATTAGCCCAACTAACAGGTTTCATGAGTATCCCAAACTCTATGAGCATATTGTACAATACTTCCCTCCTAACTGAATCATAGACTTCCTTGAAGTCTACGAACAGCTGATGCACTGGCTCAGTGAACTCCAATTTTTTCTCCAGTATCTGACGAATGCAAAAGATCTGATCAGTAGTTGACTGGATAAAATTTTGTATGAAGTTGGTAGTAGTGATATCACACGATAATTACTACACTCAGTTTTATCACCCATCTTGTGAACTGGGATAATAACGGACTTTTTTCCACTGAAAAGGCAATTTTTCCTTATTCCAAATAGAATTAATTAGCTTATGGATTACAGAACGTAATATTTGACCTCCTTTTTGACTCACTTCTGGCGGAATTTGATCATTACTTGGCGAGTTATACATTTTCAACTTCGCAATAGCAGTTTCAACCTCAAAAGGGCTAAGATCAGGTACTAACAGCTCGGCTGTTAAGACGTCCGAAAAGTGACTTCTGATCAGGAGTTAAACTCATTTCCATAATTTTTCCCCCCCTTGGCACTACAACCCCAGTGGGCCTAGGCCTATTTCCATGAACTCCGTTCACTGGGTTTTTCTAGATCTTACACATACGGTCGTACTCCTTGGGCGAGTGATCAGCTCGTCGTAAGGCCTCTACCTGTAGACAAACACAGAAAAACGCACATACACAAACTAAACATCCATGCCCTGAGTGGGATTCGAACCCACGATCCCGGCTTCCGAGCGAGCGAAGACAGTGCATGCCTTAGACCGCTCGGCTACCGTGACCGGCCTCCATAATATTATAGCCACCAAAAATTCAAACCCTTCTTCTGGGCTGCTACCTTAACGTGTGCCTTGATCGTATGGAGGGCTACGCTGGCGGCGGCTTAACCTCCTGGCAGATCACCCATGCTAGAGAGGTCACAGGTAGGATCTAAACGGAAGGTAGCCCCTAGCCTTCCAAGTTGAAGGGTTGGTAGTGAGGGTAATAACCTCACTCCATTAATCAACATGCGTTAATAAACTTCATGATATGCCAGGAGAAGAACGTAAGAGGATAAGGGTCTTAGAGGATCGTAAAGCCAAAGAGTAGAGTAAAGGAACTGAAAATTATTCCCAGAGATTACCAGCCAGTGTGCAAATGCACTTGATAAATCCCACTTCCTTGCTACAAGAAATGTAAATAACATTTACTGTACGGTCTAACTTCTCATTAATTCAGTAGGATTTATAAACAACGCTGACTGTACTATGACAATAAGGAGGCTTATCTGGACGAGCGCTAAAAGAAAGTCACGGTCTATATTTAGCCGCGAGGCTAAACCTGAGCGAGCACTAAAATGTCAGATCATCCTACACACACACACACACACACACGCGCGCGCGCGCACACGAACACACGTATATATATGCCGGAAGGGTGCAGTCAGATAAGCACCGCAAAGACGTGCATTGCTAAACAACGGCTCGCTAAACACGTTTCCGCAACAATGGATAAGCATATAATATTAGAGGAAAGATTGGAGATCGTGATCTCCGTTAGGTTCTTCCAAAAGTTATAAAGAGGATGACACGTGAGAACGCTCAGTACAGTTCAGAAGTTGTAAGAGAATTGAGAGAGGAGAACAAGAAATGGGCGAGCCCTCGGCAGTAAATTTATTGTGAGCTGTTGTAATCGATTGTAAATAAGAGTGACTGTAAAAGAAGGTGTCAATAAATCCAATTGTCCAATCCAGAACCCGTTATTATTAGTCACGGAACCCCGGACACGTGGCAATAACTATAGGCCTATTACTGCGGTCTTATTTCCGTATTTCTTTGTCCTGGCGTTAAAGCACGCGTTCAGTTAAACTGTACATGTCCGCAGTGTAACGTGCAATGAGATTTGAATGATTCTGCATTTACACTGCCAGCATATTCCACATTACGTCATTCAAAATATTAGTGCTCTTCATCGGGTTCTTATATTGTGCTAATATTTCAAGCACAGAACTATAAACAAGTTCTAAATAATTCATGTAGAATTAATGTAAATTTCCCTTTACACTTGATCGAACCTGAAAATGGTTATATATGGCTGAAAAATGCGACTGTAGTGTGCACAGCGGTTGCTATGCAACGGTTGCTATACCACAGCCGCTTCTGGGCAACAGCCCGGTAAACACGTTCTCACAGCAAAATACACGAACGCAACAACGGTACAGCAAAAGAAGCAGATAAAAAATGTATTAAATAAAAGTAAAGTATCCGTAAGATACGTATGTTTTAACTTAAGCTATTGACATGAAGTTCAATGATTTAAAAATCGCTAATGTAATAATGTATATCAAATGTGAACCACCGAAACCACAGAACAGACCGCCATGCATAGGGGAAACGTATCCATGTCACGCAAGTATCATTTTCCCCAGGAATTTTTGTTAGACTAAATGCATTTCGGGTAATGTCGACCCAGTTCTGAAATAACTGATCGATGGGCATTAGTTTAGGAAATTAAAACCGTGGTAGAGGTATCGCTGGGCCCAAACGTGTATCAGGAACGGATTTACCTGTTTAATTAACGCTCTGAAATAATTAGCATACAAAGGGCGTACTAGGGAGACATCCTGTATCTTGTCTATGTAATACGAAGAAAGTAATGAAGTAAATGGATTATGTACATATTTGTCTATGTAATACGAAGAAAGCATTCAAGTACATGGATTATGTACGTATTAGTCTATGTAATACGAAGAAAGCAATGAAGTAAATGGATTATGTACGTATGCAGGGAATCTTACCAAGTAACTTTATATAAATAAACAGTTCTCACAATACCTTAAGTTCTTCAGTCCACAATCCTGCAAAAGAAAGAGTAAACAAACTGCATCCCACATTTAAAAACATAGCACCATTAATGTCACGCACTTAAAAGCACTATTACAGCCTGAACATCATTTCTGAATACATTTCATTCAATAGAGTACTCAGTTCAGTAGGGATAATGACGAACTAATGCCGAAAATGACCTAAGCCTGACTCACGCAACACTAAAAGGATAAAAAGTACTTCGTTTAGTTTGCGATATTCCTTACCTCAAAATACAAGGCGCGTGACGGCACGAAGTCTACGAACAGTTAAGGGAAAGTTACGTGTATGTGTTAAAGAACGAGCAGTCTGAAAACATGAAAAACAAGTTTAATAAGATAAGTACTTTCATAATCGAGCGAAATTTTACTGCACTGAGGATCAAACTCCATTGCCCTCAAACTTAAATCACACTTATCGGTATTCAGCATTGTTAAGCAGTCTACAGTATTAACATGTAACATCATGTCACTGGCAAATTCGAAGCCTGAAGATAAACAGTAAACAAACAGTCAAGGCGTGATCTTTCTATGTCGCATCTCCAATACGTCAAAATTAAGAAGGGGGACGTCAAAACTACTGGGAAACACAATCATCACTTGAATGACATATTCAGACGTTACTGCGCCACAAATTATGTTCTCAGATCGCTTACTGAAGTGTAAGGACGTGCTGATGGTAAAATGGTCACGGTCAAAAAAGTAAATACGTTAGCATATAAAGCATTCCTTATATACGTACATACGAACTTCCTATTTATATCCACTCGCATATCACAAGAAGGCCGGTCACGGTAGCCGAGCGGTCTAACGCATGTACTGTCTTCGTTCGCTTGGAAACCGGGATCGTGGGTTCGAATCCCACTCAGGGCATGGATGTTCAGTTTGTGTGTGTGCGTTTTTCTGTGCTTGCGTACAGGTAGAGGCCTGGCGACCAGCTGATCGCCCGCCCAAGGAGTCCTACCGAATGTGTAAGATAGAGAAAAACCAAAGTGAACGGAGAAGTTCATGAAGGTAGGCTTAAGCTCACTGGGGCTGTAGTGCCAAGGAAAAAAAGATATCACAAGAAGAAATTAACTATCGATATAATTGTGTAAGAATTTCACATATAGAAGTTTGGGAGACCTAGGCACAGATGAGAGGACAATATTAAATTGGATCTCAAATGAATATGATGCGAAGTGGAATAATCCGGATAAGGACAGGGATCAGTGTTGGGGCTGTTGCGAACACGGACATGACTCTTTCGTTTCTACAAAAGGCGAAAACATTTCTCGGCCAGCACACCTATTATCAGATTTTCAAGGACTCCGCTCCGAGGAGTTTTAGTTTATCATTTCCCATAAATGCGGTAGCCTGCACGTCCCACCAATCTCGTCCGTCTTGATTTAATCATCATAAGAGTATGAATCTGGTGAGGCATAGCTAAAAGTTATGCTTTCCTTTGTTTAGGTTGTGCCAAGGATTCAGCGAAGTCCGAGTTTAAAGGCCATTCACTGGTGGTTGCCTGCGACATATTAGTAGGAAGATCTGGAGGCCGTTTATTCGATCAACAACCTCCTGACGCCTCGTGCCATTTCGTTTTATTCTTACTGTGAGGCGACACCGGGTCTCCTGGTTCCTAGGCCGTAATGACCCGTCATACGAGATGGAGCCATGGAGTATCTGACAAGCTAGAATTATCCTACCCCAGTGTAACGCAGTCCATCACAAATCCCACAAGAGCTGACCTAGCATTGAACCCGGATCGCCGCCGTGAGAAGTTGGCGACTAACCCCCTAAGCTATGGCATGCGCATCATGTAATTATAAAGGATCCACCTAACAAGGTAACAAAAGCAAATAATTACCGATGTACAGCACATACTATGGACTCAATAATGCACTAAAATGTCAATTCTAGCATCTTGTGCACGCGGTAGTGTGGTTGGTTGAAACACTATGATATAAGCTGGAAGGTCGGGGGTTCCAATCCTGATGTCATTGGAATTTGCAATTGACCTAACCCTTCCAGCCGCACTATGGCCCTGGGGTCGATTCAGGCTCTAAGAGAAATGAGTATCAGGAATCTTCGTGGGGGGGTAAAGGGAGGCTGGCGCGCAAGGCTGACAACCTTACTGCCATCTGTGTGCCGATTGTTTAGAAAATGTGGGAGCCTCGACGTCTCACAACCCCTATGGGCCTTCACGGCCTGCTACAGGGACAGCTTGAAATTTTCGTTTTATACTATACGAATATGTAACTTTCAGCTGCTGAAATTCAGCAGTAGACGTGAAGAATCTTTACACTAAAGCGCGGTCTCCGAAATTACTGGATTAGAATTAATGGCCAATTTTCAGTGAGGACGAAGTTGCACGGGCTAAGAAAAGAAACCACATAACTTCCGATAAAACACATCAAACCCAATATTCGTAGATCACTTTAGAGCAGGAAATTACATTGCTGGACATCCGAGCGCCCCGGGTTCGACTCCAGAAGCTCCGAAAGTGACAAATATGTGGAATCTATTTACCCTTGCAACACTTATGGGATTATAATGTTGCTGAAAATGGATCATTAAGACATGCACAGGCCCTAGATAACTTTCCATTTCGGAAACCATCTTCAATATTCCTGCTGAGTTCGAATCCGCGGCTGAATATTTTCTGTACGAAATATATAGCATAGATTCTCTTCGCCAAATATTATGAAGGAGTTCTATTCAAGGACACTGAGAGGGTTGCCCCGGCGTGTCGGGGTGCGGCAGAAAAAAAAACTGTATAAAGGACACTGAGATGGGCAGGGCATATCGCGGACATAGAAGAGATGAAAAACTCAACATTTTAGTCGGAAAACATGAAAGGAAGAAACCACTTTGGAGACATAAGCACATATGGGAGTATAAGCTTATTAAATTAATCTCGAGAAGTAGGTAATCAAATGGACTGGACTGAGCAGGCTGAGGCCAGGGTCAGTGACAAGTATACGTTAATGAACCTTCGCCTTCCATTAAAGGCAGGGAATTGTTGAGTGGCTATTACGTTCTCAAGTAGGATTATGCTCCACTGGGTCAGTTAATACACAGCCTAAGCGCAAGAGGTTCAGTTCTTTTTAGACTTAATACGACAACAGATGGGACCGCCTTTGTAGTCTAGTGATCAGAGTTCCTGGCTACAAATCCAGAGGTCCCGGGTTCGATCCCGGCGCTACCAGATTTTCTGAGAAGTAGTGGGTCTGGAACGGGGTCCACTCAGCCCCACGATAACTGAGGAGCAATTTCAAAGAAAACAAAAACAAAAATTAACGGCCGTGGGAATCCGTTGGGCTGACTACAGCGACACCCTCTATCCGCTAAAGTTGGCACTAACTTCGTCGACAATCGGCGGTCGCTCGTCGGTATAGTTCGCTTGCGGACTAAAACCACGGAGTTCGGACGATAGCAGATGTCCTGTGTAAACGAAACTATTAAATGGATACATTCAAAGTTCGGATTTCACGTTTGGAGCTTATATTCTCGAAATTCGTACAATTAATATACATACAGTTGTTCTTTCGCAGCTCAGCAACATTATAACTGATAAAGAGGTCCATCACATTAGCCATAATTCATTAAATCTGAAGAAACCAGCCCATCAACGGTAACCACCGCATCGATTGCTTGCTGTGAACGACTGCAAATAAACTGCCGGAAATAAAACACAACGTCAGTAGCGCACAGATAACTGACGTTCCTATTTTCTAATGTTATTGTCTCGTATCCAGGTAACTCGACAAGAAATTAATGGGTTCCGGATTAGACGAAGCTGTTTATTGGATAAGTCGTTTACAATTACAATCACTCTGAAATAACGTCTTTCAGGCGTTGCAACCTGACTAGTCTGTCGTCTTCTGGTTCTTAGCTGAGCTGGTTTCTTCTGCTCTCAGCTCTGCTCCGTTCGCCGCTGATCTAGTCTCCGCTCTGTTCTCCTTTGATCTGACCTGTTCTCAAGTCGAAGTCAAAGTCAAAGTCACATGGCGACTGACGGTCAGTCACTCAGTAAATCTTGGTGTCGAGTCCCATCTGAGGCTCATGACCAGATATTTATTACTGTTTGACAGTTATGGGGCGCCCTCTGACAAGAGGACGGGTCTGTCTTTTGTATATGCTGCTGGCCCTCGCCAGCGCAGTCTTTCTCGGGTGAGGTGAGGACTCGTGAGGTCACGATGGAGGTACTCGACCCCGCCTCCACACGGGTTTCATCTGTTCTCTGAGTCTGAATATGAGTCTCATTTTACGACCGACGGTCAGTCGGCCAGTCTGTCTTGGTATGAAGCACCCATCTGGGGCTTGCGACCAGATCTTTATTATTGTTTGACAGTTACGGTCTTGTTTTCTGTGGGCGCCCTCTCTGTCCGTCCTCTAGTCGGGACGGATTAGAAGATACCTTCTTGAAGGGTTCCGTTTCACGTATTAACTACTGCATTCGTTACCGCTGGAACAGCCCTAGCTCTGGCTTTCATTTCCGCGGTAACATCTTTTATGCATGCGCTGTCTCGGAAACGTGCTTCAACAAGCCGTTGTCTAGCAATGGACGTCTACTGTGACTTAAGATATTCCGGCTTTTAGGCGGCATGCCACATTATGTTAGGGCCCTTCACTGAAAAGGAGAGTATGCCTTTTCCGAAGATTAGCAAGAACACTGGTAGGTGATGATGGGTTGTATACAGCATTTGAGAAATATGAAAGTATATTTTTCACCATTCCCTATGTCCCATTCAAAACTCGACGAGCACTGCAGCAGTCTATAATAATTACGACTATAAAATCTGTATATTTATTAACATACAATTTTGTACTAGGTTTACTTTAAATTCAATGTAAAAAAAAGCTCTTAACGGCGCAATTACATAAACTATAATTAACAGACTATTACCATTCGAGAGTACAAAACATCTTGCATCGCTCACAGCCTGTCAGACATGCTGTTGGACAACCGATCTGAACTGTTGAGCTACATCGAAGTCCTACAGGCCGCAGTGTGAATTGTATTTCAGCTGTGGAACGCAACCGGAGAACGAAGATCAAGGTTTCCGTGGAGAATTTCGAAGAGAACTATCAAAACTTAAGACCTGGAGAAGCTGTAGCCTGGGGTAGGCCTATGCAAATAGTTTACATCACCACAGAACACACAATTTTATGAAGTTAAAAAGAATGACTGCAGAGTTTCCCTCTTCACGGGACTTGACATATTGTGTGTGGCGTGTAATTGAAAGAGTGCTCTGAATCAGGTTCAGCCGAGAGGAAAACACGATGAGAGGGACATGGAGGAAGAAACAACGTTAAGTTCGTAGAGCGGGGAGAAAAATGAGAGCAGAAAGACTTGAAGGGTAGGTAGAGATAGGGCAAGCAACAAGAAAGATCGAGTATGGGGAAATGGAAGCCATTCAAGACAGAGCGTCACGTATGCCATGAGTCACATACATAAACAGAACAGACCGCCACTGACAGATTACATGCTTTTAAAATGAAGTTTCACTGACGTTTAAATTAAAATTACTTCCATCTATATAAGCCAAGATGTTATGGGCAGAACCACAATCGCCTACTTTCCTTTGATACAACATGGGCCACAGAGAAAGCGATGCGTCCAATAGTTCTTATTTTCTTTTACTGAAAGCCGTCACAACACAACAATTAATAATATATGTTTGTAGTATCAAGTAGTACTTTACTACATGTTTTGGCTTTCAAGGAGCCATCATCAGGTAGATACACTTAAAAACTTCTTAGCTATTGAATTGCGTGCTAATTACACGATGTAGTATCAGCCCTTCTTTTGTTTCGTGTGTATTTGTTGTCGCGGTAACAGTTTACCAACTCGCTGCCTAGCAACGATTGCGGGGATACACATACAGACACACAAACTAATGGGAGGGATTTATGAATTACGCCGTTGAGATGGGCTCAGGTGCCATGATATACAAACCAAGTTTCATAAAGAGAGGTTCAGGCATTCAAAAGTTGATCGCTCCGTGGCTTTAGTCCGCAAGCGAACTATACCGACCTACCGAGTGACCGCCGCTTATCGGCGAATTTAGTGTCAACTTTAGCGTGGTCGGCGCAACGAATCCCAGCGGCCGTTCACCTCGGTTTTCTAGACCGGATTCAAAAGTTGATAGGGAGGAATACACAGAGAGCATGGTGATTTCATAAGAATACTTTTATATTTTCAAAATAAGGAAAGTAGGCCAAAACCTTGGGCCTCCTGTTTGCGGCACACAAAGTTTCTGCGCTCTTTGCGACTTCGTACTTCTCATTTGTTTTCATAGTCGCTTATTGCATACACAAATCTACTGTTGACACATCCGATCAACAGTAGAGATGTAACACAGCAGAGAGGTATTACTGTTCTTTCTAGTCTGTTAAATGTACAACGCACCAAAATTTTTTCAAATAAAAATTATTGACTTGAATATGGTCTGAACAAGTGTCTTACCAACCAAGGTGTTTTTCAGGTATATAATCGCAGCTGTTGGAGACGTTTGCTTATCAACGAAACAAATGTCTTGTTCCATATTTGCTATGATATGACTGCACTTCCGTAATTTAATATCCGTACGAAGGCGAAAGTGAAAACATCGCAAAGCAGTGATATTCATATGTGATTTACAGCATTTCCCGGTATGACAGCAGATCTTATTAGTGACGTAATAAAGATGGACATTCTGTCTGAGAACAGCGAAAAAGAATACCCAAAGTCAATTATAGAGCTCTTAAGGATAGAAGAAAAAAGATTTCTGCAAGGCGTCTGTTACTTCATAAACAACATGCCCATATTTATATAAAATAGATATGAAAGAAAAGTAAAAG